GGGGCACTCACCTCGGGTTTGAGGGCCAGCAGGGAGGTGAGCAGCCCGGGGATGTGGTTGGTGGCGATGTCTCGCGCCAGCTCGGGCAGCTGGCAGGAGTAGAGCAGCAGGTCCCGCAGCACGGCCGCCCCCAGCGCCATGGTGGGGGCGGGGTCCTGGGACTGGGGGGGGGGGGCAGGTGTCAGCCCAGCGACGCCCACTTCCTGCCTGCCTCACCCCCTGCCCCCTTCCCGGTATCCCCAGCTTCCCCCACTACTCCCACACCCCTCCCTTCCCCACACCTCTTGCTCCATCCCCATCCCCAGCTCAACCCAAAGTCCCAGTTTTTTCACCCCCCCTTTTGCCCTCCCCCTCCTCTCTCACCCCCCCTTTCTCATTCTGCCCCTATCCCCATTCAGGCACAGCCCCCCCACCCTCCCTCACCTGGAGCAGGTGCTGCAGAGCGCGCAGCCAGCCCAGGCAGTGTTGTTGGAACGGCTCCGTGGGGCTCTCGCTCACCAGCAGGGAGAGCAAACACAGCCCCTCGAACCTGGGGGGCACAGGGAGATCAGTGGGGGGCACCCACCCAGCTGGGGGGGGGCTGAGTCAGCCAACCTCTGCAAACTCCACAGCCCCCTCTGTCACGTCACATGCTGGGGAAGTAGGGGGAGAAGGTGGCTCCAGCGGTGCCTCTATGGGGCCCATGGGGGGGAGGCAGCTCCTGCCCCTATAAGGGACACTAGGGAGGGAGTTCGAAGGGGAGCCGGGGGGGGGGCACTCTAGTATCCCCTATAAGGAAAGCTGGGCAGGGTTTTCCTGTGGGGCGCAGTGTGAGGGAACCAGGGAGGGGTTTCCGGGGGGCTCCCAGCTGCCCAGTGGGACGAGCCCTTTGGGGGGATGGGTCAGACCCCTCTGCCCCCAAAGCATGGGGGGGGGGGGGAGACTCACCGTGTCTTGACGGCGCCCAGCCGGGCGTTGGTGACCCCGATCAGACCCCCCAAGGCCTGCAGGTTCTGAGAACACAAAGTGTGGGGGGGTTTAGCGACGAACCTTGGACAGTACAGCCTCCCACCCCGCCCTGGGATGGGGGGCAACCCGGCCTCCTTGAGACTGCTGCAGAAAGGGGGGAGCCCCCCAGGCTATTCTGCACCCCCAGACCCTCCTCATCCCCACACTCCCTCCCCACCACTCTGCCCCGCGGACCCTCTACCCCCCGCACCCCTCATCGGGCCCCGTCACCCAGGGGGGTCAGACCTGTGGAGAGGATGGGACGGGGGGTCCCTGGCGGAGGGGGCAGGGCTCCCCCCTGTGGCAGGGTTAAAGGGGCGGGACCCGGCAGGAAGTGGGCAGGAGTCCAGAGCAGGGAGGGGGCGGGGCTCTGGGAAGGGGCGGGGCTCAGACGCAGGGCGGGGAGGGGCGGGGCTCCGGGGCAGGGCGGGGAGGGGATGGGGCTGGGAGGGGGCGGGGTTCCGGGAAGGGGGCGGGGAAGGAGGCGGGGTTCGTGGGGGGGCGGGGCGTCCGGGCCGGCGGAGGGGCGGGGAGTTGGAGGCG